ATTATACAATTATTCACTAGTGATCAGTTAGTTAATAATCGCTCAATTATCTCAAATCAGTCAGTCAGTCTCATATCTAAAGGGTCAATTCTCGTGGCAGGGACGTGGAAATAGACAACACACACACTTCCTTGATTACAGTGAATTTATTAACTAACTAAAGTGATATAAAAGGGTGGTTAAATACAGGGAAAATAAACAATGAGAATGGAGGTTCGATTGTGGGAAGCTGTAGAATTTAGAATTTTTTTGGGATCAATATGTTTTGTGTTTATTTTGTAGAATTCTTTTTGTAGATTTTTTATATTTTATTTATCACACAATTTCAATACTTTATCTTTATTAATTATTATTTAATTAAAATTGAATTATTATGGTTTATTGACCTTTTAGCTGAGGTTGTACAGAGTTTATGGATATGCAGCATTTGAAGACACTCCAAGAAATTACATCAAAACAGGCAAAAGTACCAGAGTAGGCATTAGCGGACCTTTTGTAGTGCAGAGTTCAAAGTCAAAGAATTCAAAGAATCTCCAGCTGCTGCCGCTCCAAGTGGCTGCAGATCAAGGTTTAACCATGTTTAGTCCTCACAGTGTTACCAGCACGGAGTCCCTCAACAAACACAAGACGTGACTTTTCTTTGAGAAAGTAATATACAAATAATGTTTATTCCTAGCTAACAGCTATGCTAGCTATCAGTTAACAGCAACATGTGATCAAACTAAGCACTCAGGGGCAAATAGTATCCAAGGCAATAAGAGCAAAGGTCGTGGTAAATATTCGCGTGGACACGACTGCTAAAACCCGGGAGCACTTTCGACTGGTTAGCTTAGCTTAGCACAAAGACTGGAAACAGGGGGAAACAGCTAGCCTGGCAGCTCTGAAGCTCCCTGATTAACATGTTCATGCCCATCCTTCTCTTCTATGCCTTCCTAGTAACTGGTATGTTTTTAGTTGTGTTGATCATTTCTGATATCCACACAGGCAGGAGTAAATAATGGTCCCCTCACTGAAGGACTGCGATCAGCCACTTCACGGGACCTGATGCTTTTTCAAACTCGAGTGTTTCCTCTTTTCGCTCAGTTCATTTGAAACAGTGTTATTTGAACTCAAGTGGTCCCAAATAACAGCAGACAGGAAAAAACCATGTCTGGAGAGAGAGGAGGGAAAACAGACAGAAACATAGAAATCAATAGAACAATACACACCAGCCTTTAAAGAACTGAATCAATTTATTATCGTCTTATCATCCACACTGCACGTTTCTTTATTCCACAAGAGAACTCGAGTCAACCCTGGAGCACTATGGGTAATATCTCGTTACTCTTGTGTTGATTGCACTATTTTGTTAACTCTTACTTTTTTCCCTACGTGCTAACAGCTCTTACTAGCATCTATTGTCATGTTTAGTTAATCTCTTACTGTATCGATGCTTTGTCGATTGGATGTTGTTCCTCAAATGTAAGTCGCTTTGGGTAAAATGCCAAATGAGTAAATGTAAATGTCTAAATTCTGAATGGTGGCACAGAAACCGCTAAAAGAATTCACAATAACGATATTATCTAGCTCACCCGAATCCCTCGCTCTCTCGGTTCTTTGACGCTGCCCTAAATGAGCAGAGACATAACAATGCCGGAGATGTCCCCTGAGCGAGGCTCTAAACCCCGAACTGCTCCCGGGGCGCCGTACGATGGCAGCCCACTGATTTGTACTGAAATTAACCCTACGGGGATTAATAAAGTTAAAGAAATCTGATGATGAGCATGTGGAGGTGAAGGCGGGTGGTCTTTGCCCCTTTTGACGTTACTGTTGATGGCACTTCCTGCAGACTGGGGTGTCAACCAACACCCAAAAACTCCCACACCTGCGAACTAACTTTTTCCGGTCTCTCACTCTCGTCAGCCACGTCCTCCGTCTCCGACATGATGGACTTTGCGCGTCAGTAGTCGCCACTGTGTCGTACTAGCTTTCTAGCTACTTACGACGTCTTCGTCTTCTTCCTCTTTTTTCCGTTTAATGCCGGGTGTCAACCAGCATTAAGGTGCACAAGCGCCACCGACTATGTGGAAATGATTTAAAAGATGCTGGATTATTTAAATTAGATTAATGTTTGTGTTTCTATTAACACAATATCAATATTCACAGCAGCTTCCGTGCACATCCGGTTCCAGTGTTTTTGTTAGCGTCGGTCGGCACCCAGAGGTCTCCTGGACTACGACTTCATATTTATATAAAAACCGGACAAAACTGGACATTACTTGGAGAAAAGAAAGCAAGGAGGTTGAACCCCCTGGTGAATTCAGAAAATGTGTGTCTAATTTTATTCCAGCTGTCGTTGTACTTTACTGTGAACAGGTTAGCATAGCATAGCCCTGATGGTTCCGAACACCATTCAGAAAACAAACGTTGTTGTCCTGCTGACAGACCTGACAAAGCATGAATTCATATGTCTAACAAGACGGCATCATATTGTAGTTATTTCAGCATCTGTTTGATCGTTTATTGCAATCAAATCACAGCAAAATGTTTATTTTGGGTTCATGCAGATGTCCAGCGATAAAACCCGTGCGAGGAAAGCGTAGTGAGGATTTAATTTGGTTTGTATGTGAACACACCTTCAGAAGAAAAGGTCTCGGTCTGATCACAAGCTAATTATCGGGTGTTTGTGGTGAGAAAGTGATCCGACCTCCATGTGACGCGACTGCAAGGCGAGCTCTTCAGGTTTGAGCTAAACGAGTGAAATCAACAGTTGCTAGCAGCTAGTCAGAGGATGAATCAAGAACCAGCAACCGAGTACGTTGCCTTCTTGTTACCTGTTACCAGTTATGCACGTCAACTCACACCAACTCATTCACCCAGTGTTTATTTTGTTTGTTTAATAATTTAAAGGGACAGTGCACATAAATCAACTTAAGTCCAATATGGATATGTACCAGATAGCAGCCACACAGACTAATTTGTCTGCATGGCTGCTATCTGCAGTCCCTAGATTCATACCACAGCAAACCAGCTGCAGGTTTGTGGCACCGACCGTGACCTGCAGCGCCCCTGGTTTGAGTCCAAACAAACAAAACATGCCCCCAAAAATAAAACTGAAGTGTTGGACGTGGTGATGGCGCTAGATTCCTCCCGTGCAGAACATGTGTGTCTGAACCACATTTAATGGAAATCCATCCAAGTAATGTGGAGATTTTTTACTCAGAGCCTAAAAGAGTTGGAGCGACACTCTGAGACCTCTCGCTGATGAAACCTGACGCGTCCCGACAGAGCGTCCCCACGGCAGGCAGGGAACCATCTGCTGCATTAATGCATCGCGTCCCGTCTGTCTTAATGATATATAGCTAGTTAGCATTAGTGGATGTGAAGGCATTTACATACTAAACAGGGAACCACATGTTCAGTCAGTCCTGATCACTCGGATCTACGGCGCTCAACGCATCATTTAGTATGTCACTTCCTGTTAGAGAAACTTCCCATCGACTTTATTGGCTTGTTGTTTTTTTTTAAAGCAGTTTAATAATCCTTCTTCACAGGTTCACTGATTCTGTGAATATCGTTCCAAAAGACCAGAATGTCAGTTTTTCCATTTAACAGTGTGAATCTACGGTGAGCTGGGAAGAGAGACTTGGGTCCTCCAACCAAACCACAGTGTGCGGTGTAATATTTTAGGTTTTAGTCGTAGTTTCTGCAGCTTGTTCAGTCCAAATAATCTAAAACAAACTGACGAAGCAAACCAAACTGCACACAATGTACTTTTATTTTGGACAAAATCCTGCCAGGAGAGGAGAAAAAAGGAGCTCACATAAACTTTTATTTCAACCTGTTCTCTCTCCCAAGTCGTCACACACAGTTTGTAACGCACTGGGGAGCCCTGTAGCGTCTTTTATAAAATGCTAAATGTATGTGTGGGATATTTGCAAATTATTAAGAAGTGCACGCTGTAGAGCATTTTTTTCCGTTTGGGCTACTGTAGAAACGTGGCGGTACAACATGGTGTCATCCATGTAAGGTCTTTATACACCACTGAACACATAGTTATGTATGTTATGTTGCATTTCTGTCAATAGATTCTAATAAATATTCCACACTGGATCTTTAAGTTTTAACCACAATATTGTTTTTTTTTCCTCCAAAACCTATACACATTTTATATATGTAGATGTATTTCAGAGAAGTATTGTGCTTAAATTATTTTATAAATATATATATATAAATTAACACACGTTGTAAAGCAAAATGTCTGAAAATCCTGCATTTATTTACGTCTCCACACATTATTGTAAGTATTAAAGAACATTATTTATACCGGACATGCAGGTTTCATGATGCAGTTGTAAAATTCACTTTTCATTTTTAGGAGTAAAATATCAATATTTTGTTAATTTCATCTTTATTTTTTATTTCTTTGAAAGTCAATATTCCGCCTGCTGTTTGTTTTGATGAAATTCTGAAGCTGTTGTTGTTCTTTCTTATTAAAAATCCCCAATCCGCTGGGCTGTTAAAACATCTTGAGGCAGTCTGTCTCGTGGGTGTCGCTGATTAAATGTGGTGTCCCACCTCCTCCGTGTCCACAGGCTCCGAGTCTCAACCGTCTTTAAACCAACCTGTCATGTCTGAGCTCTGAAGAATAAAAAGCCATGAATATATTTATAAAATCCATAATCTGTTTTCTAGAGAGACAGAAATAATGTTCTACAACGTTCACACATTTTTTTTATTAAACTTTTATGACAAAATAAAAACAAAATAACTTTAAAGACAAAGGGATTCGGGTTCTTCACCATGTGGATGTGAGAAGAATTTTGTTTTAAATACTCAGAAACCCTAACACAGTTTGGTTGGTTGCCTCGTGGAACAGTGTGCAGTCTGTTTGAAATATGAGCATCTGAAGGGGACAAGAAGCCCAAAAGTACGTGTAAAAATCAGTGGCTTTCAGAACTGATGAATGAGTAAAAGACAACAGCTCCTCACTCACATCTGTTCGTCGTGTCCTCCTCCAGGTCGTTCCAGGACTTGGCGCGGCAGATCGACGTGGACTACGGCACGGTGAGGGACTCGGCGGTGTACGACTACTTCAGGAACAAAGGCACCAACCCTCTGGAGCAGGACAGCACCTACGCTGAGCTGTGGAGGACAATCAGCAAGAACAGCGGCATGGACTACTCCGTGTCCAGCCCGTCTGAGGGCATCCGCAAGGTACGAGGGCGTCTGTGTGTGTCTGGAGGTGAAGGATGAGGCCGGTGTTATTTTGTGTTTTCCTTATCGGTTCAAATATCATGAAAACGCCAAAACCAACAACACGCTGGTCCGACTTTAACTCTGTCTGGCTTTCTGACGTAAATCTTTGAAAACACTTCTGAGAGACAAAGTTTCTAAAAAAGAAACTAGCTGTTCAGGTTTAAACAGGAACCCTCAGGTTGAGCTGTATTACAACACTTGTTTTGTTCACAGCAGGCAAACATACAAACACACTCCTCTGTTTACCCATTAGTTAATTGCAACAGCAGTTCCACAATACACCAATTAGTGTGTGTGTGAAAACAGAAGTGGTGTTTCGCTGCTGTACATTACTACACTCGCAGATCTCCTAAAAAGCAGATGACAAATTAGCGCCAGAGACAAATCGGCTCTGAGCGCATCCATTATTCAGCCATTTGCATGATAACCCCCCCCCCCCCCCCCCCCCCTTGACGTTTTCTCCCAAACAGTGACGCACACACACATTTTAATCAGTTTTATTGTTTCTGTCGAGTGCTTTTCCAATACAGAGCCGATCAGCTGCCCCCCCCACTCCTCCCACATGCTGACGCTCTGCATCACAAAGTACGTCCACAAAGCTGCATCGTCACCTGAACACACCGGTAACCGAGGCTGGACTTCCTTAAGCAGGCATGTGATTGGCAAAGGGCAAAAAAGGAGCGCAGAGCGACCCCCGCGGATCAAAGCCGTCTGAAAAGGCCTTATATAAACCCTTATATAACTTGCCAAAACCTTTTAAGCTGATGCTTCAATTAGCCTAAAGCTGATGATACACGGGGCAACTTTTTGAGCAATGTTGCTGGGGACAAGTCCGACTATGTTTTGAACAGATAGCGGCGGTGCGGGGCGGGTGGCGGAGTGGTGGGGGAAGGGGATTACGGTAGTAATGTTGTAAGTTGCTCTGTGTTGTAAGTTGCTCTGTGTATCATCAGCTTAAGCCAATGTAGAAGTGTTCGCGGTTAAAAGCTTTTTGCTGGTCGCACAAAGTTTACAACGGACGACAAAGTTCTTTGCATCTTAGACTGTGACACAATAATGGCAACAACTTTACTTACAGCTGTTGAAAATACCTCTCCTCCCTGTTCTCCTGTCTTCCTTTTTGGCTAATAATAGCTGATAAGGTCCGGTGCCGCTGAGCTGCAGCGCGGTCGCGCATTTACGTCAGGGGTGGTGCGTTCAGTGGGGCAGCCTTAATGTGATTAGTGACTGTAGTAACATTACTGTTTTGGAAATAGTAATCCGTCACACTACACGCTTTACTGGGAAAATTACAGTATCACTGCCCAACACGTCACTTCACTGATGCACGAGAGCGACTGTGTTACACACTGCGCAGGTGTGGAATGGAATAAAGCAGGGTTTTCCCCAAGGAGCACATGTGCAGCGAAGAAAGTTCAAGTAACGCAGAGTTTAACAAACAAATTATTATATACATATTTATACTACATGTGTGCTCCTTCTCTTTGTGTTAAACTACGGTGTGAAACCATCAGAGGACTGTGGAAGGACAGACCCTGGTGTCTGGACGCACAAAAATCTGTCAAAGAGTTTTAAAATATTGAAACAGATGTTTTGAAAATTCTGATCACAAAAAAATAGTTTTAGAAGTAGTTTTTGAAGCAGCAGCAGCCACACAACCCACCCCTGATGTAAACCAGACTACTGAGCAGTGTTACAGTAGCTTCAGTAAAACAGAAGCAGGGGAAGGTGCTGCTCTCAGGAGGAAGCTGGAAGGACACATACTGGCACACTCTTTCTACAACATGGAGGAGAAACTAGTTTAAATGAGGATTTATATTATTATAATGACATTAGATGAAAAGTTAGATTTTGATCTAATAGTATACTGTTACTGTTTTTTATATGCATTGTCATTTTATGTCATAGTACACTATAGAGTTCACCACTAGTATAATATTTATTCCAGTTGGACAAAACCCACAAACCTCCTTATCTTCTCCCGGCTGTCTCCTGTCTCGCATGCTCCAGCTTCATTTTTCCGGTTTGCACGAATCGATTTTTAGGGACATATGCGAGCCAAATGGTGGCACCGTAGAGGCCTGTACAGTGATACACAGAAAAAGCAGAACATCTGCGGGTTTGAGATTCTGTTTTAATCCATATTTCATATTCTGTTAAGTTCTGTGTGTGTAGCATGATGGGACTAAAACCTTTTGTTTAATTAAACAACCTTGTACCGTGAAAAATGTTTCTGAATATTAAATAATTACCAGAATGTTGAATTTGAATTGTTGCTCATCTCACATACCACAGCCTGATACTTCCTGTGCACATTCGTGACGTAAGGACCTCTCGTGACTGAGCCTGCGGTAAAGCTCAGACTTTCATCTTTTCAGCAGTATTTTCAGAAAAAGGCATCAGCTAGGCTAAAAACAAGGCTTACCTGGTGTGTTGCACACGGGCCACCATCTTCACCGTCACAGGGCTGGAGCCTCAAGTTTACCTCGCTAACCTCACATCCTGCCGCCTCGCACAAGTCCCGGCTTTGATTGGCAGGACACAAAGATGAGAGACCACTGGCTGGTTTCAAGCAAGTCAAGTGTTGCCATAGAAACTAGACAATCCGGAGAGGTGTTTTTATTAATAAACACAAACTTGTCAACAACTTGTGACTGATGAGTCTTGCTTTGCCCTTCTGTGTGTCTGCAGGCTCAGAAGAGTCCCTACGCCTTTCTGTGGGACATGGCGGTGCTGGAGTACGCCGCCCTGACGGACGACGACTGCACCATCACTGTGTCGGGAAACAGCATGAGCAGCAAAGGCTACGGCATCGCCATGCAGCACGGCAGCCCCTACAGAGACCTCTTCTCACAGAAGTAAGTGACGCCGCCGCGGTAAAACATTATCAGATTTCACTGATCATTGGTGGAAAGTTACTCAGTCCGGTGCAGAACAAGTGACCAGGTTTGTGTTTAGATCTGGATCCAGTAGCACTACAACTTGTTTTTGGTATTTGGTGCAATAAGGGTTTGAGAAAAAAAAGAAGTTCGGTTGATGAGTTCTTGTATCGTAAAACCTGCCATAACTCTTGAATGCAGTGTGCGACTGAATTGGGTACTTTATGAATCCCACCTGGATGCTGCAGATTTACAGCAGCCGAGATGCATTTATTTCAAAAACAAGAAAAACTACAATCTTCCTCTGCTGAACTAAGACTCAAAACATATATTTTTCATTTAAAGTGCGACTCAATTAACATTTTACACAATTCATCATTATTACAAACTCTGGGAAAGTGATAAAAATAATAGGTTTTTTGATTAGTCGACTAATCTGACAACTAATTTACTGTTAAACTGCTAACTTTTTTTTGGTAGCTGATTAATATAACAATTAATGAATTCAAAATAAATTGCCTCATTAATAATTCAACATTTTATTCAACCATCCTGAAAGAGAGACACATTAGAATAATGATAATAGTGGCATTTTAAAAAATTAGTCTAACTTCCACGTCACTTTTGTGTTATGATATTATTAATTTTAATAAATGACTCTGTCAGATGCCGGATCAGAAAAATACTGGACCTCAAATTCAAATGGATTGCTGTGGCACAGATTCATTTAAACTCTGTTTGTCGACGCTTTCTCTGAACAATCTGTGTCTTTACTAAGTGCTTGACTCAAAACTTTAGACGGTTCTTATTTGCCACTTAATCAAAACAATTGCACAACATATAAGGAAGTTTTATTCAAAATCAGTTTGTTTTTAAAACAGGAAGAAAAGAAGATCTCAAAGAACATAATTTAAAAAATGAGCATTCAACAGATATTGATCTTCGCGCTGGCACAGAGGCATTAAAAACAGACTTCTCTTCTTCCTGTATTTTTTAGCTTTGCTGCTTCTTTCCCTGCTCGATCAAAGTGAAACATAACGGCTGGAGTGTGACGTGGCTTCCTTCAGTGTTTTATCTGTGATGGACAGAAACCGAACAGGATTTTGGATGAAAGCTTCTTTGTCGGCTGGTTTTATTGTGCAGTTAACGGTGACTTCTGATCCTCTTTGTTGACATTAAGTCTCCATCATCAGCCCGTAAATCCCCCGATGTGTGTACAGGAAAGAGTGTCTGGCGCAATTACAACAGAGCTGTTTGAAATGTACGTTAACGAGAGACTGTAGTCACGCTGACTTATGTAAAACGTGACGGGCAGTGCAGGTGTTTCAGAGGTATTTAGTTTGAGGTGAGAAACACCTCCTGCAGGCAGACTTCACCAACAGCGCTGGATGTTAAAGTCCAATAAGCTCACATGAAACGAGCTCGTAATAAGCAGCGCTGTTGTGAAGGAAATGAGATTATTCACGGTGTGATGTGTAAACAGAGGGACATGTGCTAATTACCCTTTTGATTTTGTGAGGCAGATGTTTCAGCAAAGGCTTTTTTTGGGGGGGGAATTCAGTCTCCTCTCTCTTCCCAAACGCAAATTGATCCCGGAGCGAGTTTCAAAATCGCAGAGATCATTCAGTAAATCTCCACATTATTACATCATGAATTAACGGTGTAAAGAGCTCTGAAACTCTGAGAGACTTTCTCAGCCGTCTCGTATCGATCAGTTCCCAGAAAAGCAGGAAGTTGGTGTAAAAAGAAACCTGAGGGATTTTAGCCAAAAATCTAATAACGTCATTCTTTGTGTTACAGTTTTTTGTGTTGATCTCTCAAATTTCTTTTCATCTTAAGCGTTTTATTGATCATTCAGGTTCTTAAAGCTGCACTTTACAGGAAGTGAAACACAAAGACATTAGGTGGTAAAGATGGCTGCCATCTAAGACATCGACATCACTTAAATTCATCCAGATCCAGGAGAAGAAGTTTAAAAGTCTCTCTTATCTCTCTCCTCCCGATGTCCATAATTCCTGTTGGTCATCTCAGAAACCCCTGAACTCATTTGTAGTCCTTCTATAGAAGCCCATTTCTGCCAATTTTTTAAAAAAGACAATCCTGTTAAGTCATTATGACAAACTTTGAGTATCTCAAATTAATTAAAAAACTTTATAAAAATGAGAAATTATTAAAATGAATTAGTATCTAAAAATGAGGTAGTATCTCAACAGAAAAAGTGTCAATATAATGAGAAACTTTATTGAATAAATGAGAAGTTCTTAAAATAATGAGACAGTATTTTTAAATGAGTTAGTATCTCTGTACGCAGGATAAGCGGTTGAGGATGGATGGATGGAGTTAGTATCTTAAAATGAGTTAGTATTTTTAAATAATGAGTTAATCTCACAATAATGAAACCTTCTCAAAAGAATGACTTGTATATCTTGAAATGAGTTAATATCTTAAAATAATGACTTAATATCTAAAAAAAGACTTAACTCAAATAAGTTAGTATTTTAAAATAATGACTTAATATCTAAAAAAATTACTTAACTCAAATGAGTTAGTATCTTAAAATAATGACTTACTTATTTAGAAATAATGATACAGTATCACAAACTATTAAAATAATGAGTTAAAAAATTAGTTAATCTCACAATAATGAAACTTTCTCAAAAGAATTACTTGTGTATCTTGAAATGAGTTAATATCTTAAAATAATGACTTAATAACTTTTAAAAATGGCTTAACTCAAATGAGTTAGTATCTTAAAATAATGACTTAATATCTAAAAAAATGACTTAACTCAAATGAGTTAGTATCTTAAAATAATGACTTAACTCAAATGAGTTAGTATCTTAAAATGATGACTTAATATCTAAAAAAAAATGACTTAACTCAAATGAGTTAGTATCTTAAAATAATGACTTAATATCTAAAAAAATGACTTAACTCAAATGAGTTAGTATCTTAAAATAATGACTTAATATCTAAAAAAAACGACTTAACTCAAATGAGTTAGTATCTTAAAATAATGACTTAATATCTAAAAAAAACGACTTAACTCAAATGAGTTAGTATCTTAAAATAATGACTTAATATCTAAAAAAATGACTTAACTCAAATGAGTTAGTATCTTAAAATAATGACTTAATATCTAAAAAAATGACTTAACTCAAATGAGTTAGTATCTTAAAATAATGACTTAATAACTTTTAAAAAATGACTTATTTTAAATGAGTTATTATATTATAACAATGACTTCCTTGCACTGTGATTTGTGTGGAATGAAAAGCAGCAGGCCTCACCGTCCTGAGGAGCCACTGTGAAAGCTTCTGAACTAACTCTATGAAGTTGTGAGAGAGGCAGCTCACAGCTGGAGCCCTGAGGAAGCGTTTGATGTTTGCCCGCACACGATCCCTCAAACCCCTCAACCCAGAAACCACCGTGTAACTTTCTGTGTCACGTCTGTGAGGAAGAAGAACACAAATAGTGACTGTGAGTTTTGAGCCCAGCAGCATTAATAGAGATGTTAACACAAAGCATTAGCGGCTGCACCGCTGTGCTGCTGATATTATTACCGGAGCAGACTGCAGATTGGCCGTGCTGAGGGGAAATGGGCTCTCTTGGATGAGTTTTCGTGCCCCGTGGCTGCGTGGGAGGCACGCCCGAGGCCTGACAGCAACCCTACACCGCAAATGTCATTTACACTCCTCCGGCTGCGTTTATCTGACTACCCCCTCCTGTCCCGTCGACTTCCATCTTCATCCTTCCGCTCTCTCGCTCTCCAGCTCTGTGTGATCCCCTCTCGTCCTCCCAGGCCATGCTCAGACAGCGAGCAAATCCTGTTTCTCAGATCGGCTCTTTAAAGCTTTGAGACGGTCCGCTTTGTAACCGACGAGTGTCCGGATCAGATCAGCTGAGGGGAGGACGAGGCAGCAGAGCCACGACTCGGAGCAGTCTGAAAGTGTTCGGCAGCTCGGTTGTGAATCCGAAACAATGACAACCAGGTGGATACGGTGGCTTTACATTGTTAATCTGATGTGGATGTGAACAAATTAAAGCTCAAAGTCTGACATGTTGTTTCCTTTGCAGAGACTTATTTTGAAAAGTATCTTCATGGTTGCTTCTCCTTTCAGTGATATCAAATCCACGAGAAGGTCAAGCAAGTTCACAAGTTTTAGATGGATCAAACCTCTTACTCTCTCATGTCTGTTTGAATCTGATCTGAAAAGGTCGGCTGCCATGCGAATTTTGTGCCATCCAGACAAACTTGTCTCGACTTGAATGATTCTCTGGTTGTGCAGTCTTCTCTAACTTTTTCCCTGCTCTGGCGAGCTGATGCAGCTCACCTTGTGTGTCTTCCTTGGTGGCAGATTGCAGCAATGGTCGGCTTCACTGCTGCCTGTGGGACTGTTTCTCAATCATGGCCTCCCCTTTCCTCCTCCTCCCTCTGCACCTCATTCTTCCTCTTTAATTAAGCAGTGCTGTGTTTATTTAGGGATTAATTTGTGGCTCTGAATAGAGACAAAACCGCTGGTTATTAATGGAGTTTTTGCACTGGCCCGGCCCAGTTGAGCAGGCGTCCTGCGGCCCGAGGCATCCTCGCAGCACAGCGCTCAGGGACGACCAGGAATAATGTGCTCGAGTGTTAAATTGAGGGCAGAGCTATTGTTGAGCACGAAAACCATTATCTCCACGTTTCCAACCATCATTTTAATACCTAGTCCCATAACTGCTGTATTACCTCTATCCCTGGCTTTCCATTTGATAATCCTGCCATTAACAACCTTTACAGACTTTGTTGCTTCTGCTGCTCATTTGTGCTGTAAAACTATTTTGTCCTCGGGGTGTTTCGGTAGGGGGTGGGGTGGTAGATGGAAACTGCAGTGCACTGACCTTCAGCATGTTCACGCTGAGTTGAGCATATTAAATATAGCAAATTGGGCTCTGATTTTACCGCAGCTAAAAGCAGACTGTACTTCAGTGGTCGTGGCAGAGCTTGCTTAATTAACTCCATAACTCAACAAAACGAGAACAGCAGGCCTGCTGGATGAAACTTAGTGTCTGTTACAAACCAGTACAGCCATGTATAGGAAGTATCAAGAAGTTTCAGGTCAAAGGAGGCGAGCTGCTGCTCTGTGTTAATGTTCACCAGAAGATCAACACAAGGAGTCTCCTCAACGGTCTTTCCTGCTGCCACTTGTTTGTAGTTTGGCTCCAGACCTCTGAATTGCTACCAACATCTACAATTATTTCATAGGTCTGGTGGTGTGCTTGTTGAGCCTTAATGTAGGTGGGATTAAGAATAACGTTGTAATCTTTGTGGAGGGAAAATGGCCATAAAGATGGTGTAGATGAGATGGGTACAGGTTGTTGTGAGTGGACTTATTGAATTAAATAACTTAATTCAACTAATTTCTTGGATTTATATCAGGGATGCTGGAAGTGCTGAGCTGTCAGTCTATATAATGACACCGTACTAAACAGTGCCTGATATTCAGGTCTAAAATCATTCAAGGTACCGCTCAGTAGCGAGAGACATATCTATCCTGCGACGTGTTTCTATGAGCAGCTAACTAAGACACAATACAACCTGTGCAGTTATGTCAATTTTTCTGTTTCCTACCAATCCAGTTAGCTAGCTAGCCTTGTGGGAAGATGGAGTCCACATTCTTCATACTGCTTACAAAGCTCTGATTGGTCAATCATTTGTCTAACTGAACAAATCAGAGATGGGAGTTGTGATTCTAAAAGTCTGAAAACATCCCACAATGCACTGTAAAAAATTGTTTACACTTGATGGTTACTGAGTCAGGGGCTAACCAATCATGTACTGCACAGATGGTAAGACGCAGCAGACCGACTGAAGGAATGACCTGAATGTTTTGTTTTTTGTGTCTAACACACTGTAGTGAAGTAAAGAACATTTGGCATCAGTGGGGTTAATACCTAGGGAAAGAAATATAGTAAATGCTCCATATTTGTATAGCGCCTTCTAGTCTTTTCGACCACTCAAAGAGCTTTTACACTACATCTGCATTCACACACATTCATACACTGGTGGAACAGCCACCAGGGGCAATTAATTTTTCTGTATCTTGCCAATGGACGATTCGACATGCAGCCTGGAGGAGCCGGGGATTGAACCGCCGACCTTCCGATTAAAGGGCAACCCGCTCTACCACAGTGCAAATCAAAAACAAGTTAGAGAGGAACGCCCCTGCTCTGATGGCATGTGGAAGCTTGTTGCACCATTGTGGTGTCACAGCTTTGTGTGGAGGGATGGCAGAGCCAGGCGGTGTTTGTTGGAGGAGCGCAGTGGCCCAGAAGGAACGTAGGTTTGTATTATGGAGTTTAGGTAGATGGTGCAGACCCAGTAGTAGCTCTGTGTGCAGCATCAGGGACTTGAATGTAACCTTACGCATGGCCTATACCAGTTGTTCGGTGGCATACTGAATAAGGTATGTTGTTTCGAGCAAAGCAGCAACATGGTCTGAGAAGGACAGCTGGTCATCAATCATGACACCCAAGTTTCTCACCACTTTTTAGTTTGATGTTATGGTGGATAGGCTGCTTGGCTGGAATGAGCAATAGTTCAGTCTTACAGTGATTAGTTGAAGTTGGAAAGCCTTTATTCATTTGGATATGTCCAAGAGGCAATCCATGATCTGTGCTGAGATGGAGTGGTCTTTTGGCGGGAAGGATAGGTAGAGTTGTGTATCGTCTGCATATCAGTGGTAGGAGAAAGCATGCGAGCGAATGATCGGCCAAAGTCAGGTGTCTGCTGAGTTTAATTTTTCAAAGTGAATGCCCCCAAGGATAATGGACACCGTGCTCTGGGACTGATGACAATCACAGAGACCTTTACTGGACTCCAAGAAGGGATGCTATTCGAACAAGGCATGTCTGTGTTTGCACATGGATGAGTTTTAGCCGGCGGGTAATTTGTTTTTACCTTGTTGGTAGCTTTGCTCAGTGGACTTTCTCTGGTAGACTCGCTGGTCTTTACACGAGGGGCTTACGCTTCAGCAACAAGTGTCATTTAAATATTATGCGTTTAACTGGGTTCTGCTGGCGGGTCAGAGATCCACACCTAACTGTTTGTACTCGCTCAACAGGCCTTAAGTCTTTAGTAAAATGCCCAGTAAAGTGATAGCACAACAGGGAGTAAGAAATAAAACTAAAGTTAATATCATCTCACAGCTGCCATTTCTTACTTGCCCTCCACTTAAAACGTCAATTCTCATCTTTCTTGCAAAAATAATTTATGTTAATCGACCATTTAATCATGATGGGTGAACACCTCACTTATGAAAGCGCCAAGATGACTGATATTACCTCAGATGGACAGCAAATAAAACAACAAATCAATCCAGCTGTCATTCTGAAACATTAAAGCAACAAATTATCACCTTGGTGAAATAAAACACAAAAGAAGTTGACAAGTAAAATCTCTATTATGCCTAATTCAATTTTACTGAAAATACTCAAAATGTGAGTGACTGCAGCATTGAACACCTCCCCTGCTCCGTAACGTTGATTAGTACCATTTAACACGTCATGTAATCGCCCATATTGACTAATTTCAATAACAAAATTGCAGCAGTATTGATGCTAAATTGCTTCATTGTGCAGGCCTATTGTGGGATTGTCTGCAGGTTCAAGAATAATTAGAGTGTGACACGAGTACAGCCTTCATGTTGACGTCACGAAACTGCATCTTTCACTCAAACCACACGCAGACTGCTGCTAAATATGAACAATTCTAATGATCTGTATATTATTTTAAATGTACTGTTACAAGCATGTGGTCACCACCTCAAAATTCTGTTGTCATGAAGAAATCAGGGTTTTTTGAGGGGGTTTAAATCTACTTTGTTCAACAATTTCAACATGGCCACATTAAAACAGGGGTCTGTATTCTAATCCAAAACAGGTCTTTTTGTCAGATTCAGTGAATATCTCCTCGCAGTCTCCTCTGTGCAGTCAGCCCTGCCTCTGTAAATGGGAAACAAACAAAGCAGCCGAGGTTATTATAGTTATGGATTTTTTATTAGTTTATATTTTAATTTCATTGTGACCTTTCGGTTCAGTTTACTTTTAGTCTTTCTTTGTAATATGGGGTTATTTGTCAGGGGCAATTTTAGAAAATGTATTCACTTAGGACTGTCGAACAACCGTCCGCAAAAGACAATTTTAAATGTTGTATTAGTGTCATTTATGGAAGATTTTATTGGACTTTAATATTTGTAACCCACAGAAAACAATCCACAAATGTGTACTATGATGTGCAAATGTTTCACTATCTACAAATGTGTATTTTTACATTTGTGGAATTTTGTCCACTCTGTACCACAGAGATCTGTAAATGTGAAAGCAGTTTATTAGCTACACCAGGAGGTGGTAGCAACATTGCCTCATGAGTTGTAAGAATATCCATTGCAGTACCCAGGGTCATCTGTAGGAGACAACAACTTATGCTGGACCTCACTCTAGATAAGTGTAGTTTACTATTGAATACTTTATCATTGTTTTACATCTTGAAAATTTGTGTTTGTAGTAATATGTTTCACCTTCCTGTCAGAGCTGTGAAAGAAAGCTTTGTAAAAGTATATGAAGAGAAGTTCTGTATTCTATAAAGCCCAATCAGGAATACTGCATTTCAATTAAGTTGTAACATCTTTTGACTATTTCTTCTTCCCCACAAAAAAGGTAAAATACAATCAACCATGTCAATATGGGCAAAAAGGAGAAACTTTGTGCAAGATATATACATACTGAAAGGACAAAGCATTAGGTATATTTATTCTCTTGCCTTGCATTCAGTCTTTTTGTGGTTTACCCAAATCTTGAGTGGTATTCAAATTGTCAGAACTTGCCAAAGGCAAGCATCTTATCTATGTGCCATCACCACCCTAGTCAAACGTTCTGTCATTGTGTTACTTATGGATGGAATTATGGTGAAAACTTTTTTTTTTAAATAGTAAATTTATTAAATTTACTATTTATTACCCTTAAGGACCCCTGGTGGTCCAGCAAATGGCTATTCATTTAGTAGCCGAAATAGGGCTAGTCTGATAAAGTGAACATGTTGTGAACCCCTCATGTGTCTAAGAGGTCCCCCAGTAATGTCAGTTTTGGGTTGGGAACAGCACCCCAAGATAGATCTCCAGTATTGAGGTGTCATATAAACCCTACAAAAAATACAGTTCTTCATGCAAAAGCTCAACAGAAAATGGACGATGACTGTACATTTAAGGACCGTAACCTTATACATAGGGTTTACAATAGCTCCTACAAACAGTAGGTACAACAGTACTTTTTATTTATTTAAATATACATGTAAAACAAATAAAGTATTCAATAGTAAACTATATAAACATAAAAATTTAGATTTGAGTAGAGCCCATCGGTCCAGCAGAAGTTGTTGTCTCCTACAGATGACCCTGGGTACTGCAATGGATATTCTTACAACTCATGAGAGGCAATGTCGCTACCACCTGCTGGTGTAGTGAATAAACTGCTTTCACATTTACAGATCTCTGTTTACAGAGTGGACAAAATTCCACAAATGCATAAAAGGAAGTCACAAATGTAACGTGACCTGCAAATCGCACTGTATTTTTGTGAACATGATTTTACACATCACAAATGTAAAACTATATATTTGTAGATAGTGAATGCATTTGTGGATTGTTTTCTGTCCAATAAAATTAAGAAATTTCTCTCTATAAAAATAAATGCAGCGAATTAACCCCAATACTATTTATGCTTTTGGTTCGTCTAAGAAAAAGAACCAGGGTTATGTGGTGTACAAGTGACAGCAGATATGAGGCAGCCATCAGGATTGACATCTCTAAGGATCTATTTCACATGTTGAATTCCCCCCTTGATGTCAGAAAGTCGCATTTATGGTTTCTTCGACTCACCTGTTCATCTCTTCTCAATCTTCAGGATCTTGGAGCTGCAGGAGAAAGGCGACCTGGACATCATGAAGCAGAAGTGGTGGCCCCGCACCGGCCGCTGCGACCTCAACAGCCACGCCAGCGCCCACCCCGACGGCCGCTCCCTCAAGCTGCACAGCTTCGCCGGAGTCTTCTGCATCCTGGCCGCCGGCCTGCTGCTGGCCTGCCTGGTGGCCGGGCTGGAGGCTTGGTGGAACAGCAACCGCTGCCGCCAGGAGCAGCCCAAAGAGGTGACCGAGCACAGGGCCCGGCGGACGGGCCAGCGGGGGGAAGACACTGCCACACTCTACTTTAAGGATCCAGCCGCAGACGCGAGCCCCGACTTAGTGGAGCTCCAGTACACCCAGCTGTAGAGGAGAGAGAGTTAGGAAACTAGAGTTAGTGCTGGAGAGCTGGGGGACCGAGGGTGGCGAGATAGGTAGAGTAGGTAGATGTGCTCTGTGCCACATCAGCCCAGGCCACTGATTGAAATCAAATTTGGTCTCTTATTATTACCCCCCCCCCCCCCCCCCTCCATTTTTTCTTTTATCCGTCCATCGCTCCCCACCCACCTCGTCCTACACTTACAGACGCCAGAGCTCATCTGTTTTTGTTTGGCATATTCTCTAAACCACATGAAGCACACTGCACACTCCACTCGACCATTACCTTTACTAATCCGCTCATGAAACAACAGCTTCCCGAACCACTCGGGAGTCGCTCCTCTTGGCCTTGATGCACACACTCGAGGCCTTAGGCAAACGTGGAATTGAAAACGCCGAATTAGCCCAGCAAGTCAGGATTCGGCTGTTGGCATGTCATGTATGTTTCCCAGCAAAAACCCCCTTTGCTAAAACAGCCGAGTACTCCCGCAGACTTTAATGATTAATTCCCAGTGCCGGATCTGTAACCATTCAAGTGGTCGGTATTGAATTATTGTTATAAACTCATTTTCTACAGTGAGGCTTTGGTAGTTTCCTGCACCCAAGGGTTCGGAAAAGAGATTATACTTAGCATGCGAGAGAGATCGCTCAGGCAGAGAATGATAACAGACACATTTTCCCTTTTCATTGTGAGACAAGAAAGTGATTTATCATATCCAAGAGAACCTTAAAGTGCAGCTCACCCTGGGTTTTAACATTAACAGTGACATTATCACAGTTGGTCCATATCACTTGCTGTTGTTGCTAATAGATACTCAAGCTTTACTAAGTGCCTACTGAATAAAAACCATATAGCATTCAATTACCAGATCGCTCTCTTTTTAATGAAATACAAGCCCCTCTAACAGCTGAGCTAATAGTTACACATTCACAGAGGAAAGCAATTAATTAAACATTAATGCAATCCAATTAATATTAATGAACACTGACAACCATTTCAAGAATGATTGTAAAGGAAACCTCTCATAATTGTTGTGTTTAGTGAAGATAAATCTTACGTAACAGTGTTGGAACTGAACTCTTGTCACCACCAAAGGTCCACGTTCAACACTGAAATTAGACCACAGACAAAACATGTCATACCTACATCGTTTACACAATTCAGCGAGTGCCATTTCCCCCCTCAGAAAAGTCATGTTGTGTCCCAGGACCACACTGCATCCTAATTCTGACATATTTACTACGTGGCAGACTGACTCCAAAACAAAACTGTCATGGCTAAAATGTTAGCAAACAGAGCAACATTATCATCCCATTGGAGTCTGTTTGTGTTCAACATGTCCAATATTCACTCTGTAGCTAAATATGAATAGACGCAGGGCTGCACAATAAAACAACCCCTCCTCTGCTGTGATTGGACAGCTGGGTAAAAAGTGACGAGCGCAGAGTTTCCCAAAGTTGAACATTTTTCAACTCTAGGTGACCGGAAAAAAACGCTCAGTGCCTCGTCACGCTGCTGCCGTTTTTGCACTGCATTAAACAGTATTAGAATATGTTAAAATATGTGACCACATCAGTTTAACAGCATTAAAAATAAAATAATTGGCGGCATTGATTAACTAATGAGTTGCCCAGCCCTAATATTAATGTTGTCACAATAAAACATTTCATGTCATTTGATATCGATAATTATCGGGATGAATCTCGAATCATTATTTCTTTTTACAAAGTTTAAAGGCTGACTTTGCTCCCGAGTGAAGGTCAATTGTGGTTTTAAACTTTTCTTTCTGGTCAGAACAAACACTTGATGCCGAACAGTGAATCACTTCACAAATCTGAGGCAGAACATTCAAAACTATTACAGTAAAATCTTTTTTTCAGTCCCTTTTACTCAACAAAATAAATATTTTACTAGACAAATTAAGAGCTAATTCATTCATGATTCAAGTGAATTAGATCAAACATTTATTGAACATTGTGATAACTGTCATTATTGTCCAGCCCTGCATTTATGTCTAAGGAAGACGATCAGAGGGTTATTTTTCCTTTTCAGACTGATTCTTTTGCATATTCTTTTACCAGAAGAAGTAAAACTAAACACTTTTGCACAAGGAAACGCAAACTATTTTGACTCAAGTCCAGAAAATGAACATTTGCTTCCCAGAAAGTTATCTTGGATTTATTCTGTGGCTAGAGAGAAATGTAGTTGGTCTTGTTGTTACGATAGTGGCTGCAGAGAGGCCAAAGGTTTCACTTTTAATGGATTAATGTTAATTAGCCAGCGACAGTCAGTCTCGGCTCAAAATGAGATGCCTGCTCACGTCCTTTAAATATTCTACCTCGTAGAGAGATTCAGACCCAAAAACTAGACCCATATTAGGATATAGTCTGGAACTGGGACTCACAAGGCTACACTTGAACATAAACTGACCTCAGACCTGCTTTTATTAGTTCTACCTCCAGACATTCACCACCTGTGCCAAACACAACACAAACGTTCAGGAGGCAGCTTTGTGTCATGTGACAGGGGACCAAATGGAAGCGAAGCTTTGACGTGGATCCATAAACTAAAGTGTGAGCAGGCGGTGTACTTTCGGGTGTGTCGCCCTTTTAGCAATAAGATCTGTCTCCAACATCCCAGTCCATAACCCCTGGTACTTTCACTGTGTCACGTCTTATTGCAAATTATATGTCAATGTGGACGCCCGTGTTATCTATCTCCTCTCCTTCTCTCCATCTATCCTTTTTATTTACACTTGACTGTCTATGATCTCGTGCAGGTTACTAAGGATTACAGACTGGCAAGGGTTTCTGGTCCATTGACATATAATGACATTACAACTGCTTCATCGGAGGGGAGGAGGGACATTTGGACAGACAGAGAGAGAGGCTGGGATGAAGCAGAAGCTATTGATACAGGTCAGAATAGACCTCCTACACAACTATTTAAAATAAAGACAACAAAAAGAATCCTTTCTGTTTTTTCGAGGGTTGATTTTTGGTCAATTGTGAATCTACAACTGAGCAGAAACGCGACTCATTCCTGCTTTTCTGTGGCCGAAACTTCTGGAAATAAATATTCCAGTTAACATGAACATGCAGGGCTTTGTATTTAAATACATTTCTCATCTCCAGGAAGCCTTAATGTCATCTATTCATTTTTTTCTCCCTCCATGTTAACCATAAACTAAATAACATGATTACTCAAAAATAAAAGAGCTTTTCTTTAAGGCTGGTCGCAGGTGATGTAATACTTCACCAAGATCCTTAAGCTTAAATCAGACTTTTCCTTAAAGTCTCTGGTAGCTCATTAAACCTTCCACTGCAAAAGCTAATTATCAATTTCCTTATCAGAAAATAGAACAGGAAATTGTTTCCAGAACCAGACGTTCCACCTCTATACCAAGAGGGAAAAATGGCCCGAATTAATTTGGTTCCTGATCTGAAAACAGACAGCTTGGCCTTAATTGCAATTGATTTGAATTTGGACTGCACCCCCCACCACCTTTAGTTCTTCTAGTGCCTTTCTGTTCGTCCCTGCTTTGTTTCAGTCGCTCATCTTTAACTGTGTGAACACATTCCATAAGGGCTGACCTCTGACCTCACCTTTACCTGTTGTCGGCGTGTTGAACACAAAGAATTGCTGATTACACTGTGATGGAAATCCTGCAAACAAGCTCGGTGCCTTTTAGTGCATGCCTATTACGCAACTACTACAACTCAATCTTATTTCTAACCCTTTAACTTTAAAGATCACTCAACCAGGTGGCGTTTGAACCAGCGAGTTCTTATCCTCAAACATCAGTCGTCTTCTCTTTAAAACAGGAAACTGGCGAAAAGGAATCTCCGAGACACACTGGGCTTCTCATTGGCTGTTGATTATTAAAACAAACTGAGTGCGGCAGAACTGCTCTGGAAGAAGAAATGATCTTCTTTTACTCGAGTTAAATTTGAACCAGTGGAATCTTTTGTAGTGCTTTAGCTAACTCAGATTAGCCTGCAAAACCAGACTGCATCTCAATAACTGAGGTGGCAGCTGGAGGCCGAACCAATCCAAAAAACTCTGAGGAGAGTTTAGACTACTACTAATAACTACTATTAAAACTATGTTATAAAACTGATTTGATTTGGATAACTTGAGAGCAATTTGACATATTTTGAAGCCCAACCTTGTTTATCTAGTTTGAAAAAAAGAGGCAAACACCAATGGAAGCTAGCTAGTAAATAATAGCTTTTGTTGCAGGTTTCAACCAGAAAAGTTAAGCGGCAACATTTTCCTTTGGGGCAATAGAGAGCCTAAGCCCCTCCCCTTCCGGCCAACCATCATGGGACCCGTCTGAAATGAAATGTTTGTCAGTTTAAAAGATCGTTTAAATCAAGAAAGTCGCAGTTTGTCGTAAAACTGAAAATACGTAATTACAAAGACCCCAAACCCAAAAGTCGCGTGTGTGGCGTCAGAACTGTTTCTCCCAGTGACTGAAGCTAACGTCAAATGGCTTCCGTGTGTAGATGATGTGATGAAAGGACCACGAGTAGTTGGACTAAACCACAGGCTGTATAAAAGAAGTGGGCGTAGTCATCGGGACGTCACCCGCTGACCACCGTTTTCAAGCCTCGAGTTTGGCCGATAGGGCGCCGGCACCGGACGAGAAGGTGGAGCTAACAGCTGTGTGTGGAGCTAGCTAGCTTGCTTAGCTAGGTGCATCTGTAATTCACGTTGATTTTGTCTAGAGAACAACAGGCTGAAGGGTGGATAAGACACATGCCTTTGGTGTGGTATACCAGGGTTCGATTCCCCACTGTGACATCCACCAATGTGTCCTCCGCGTTCGCATCAGTTCGCTGACCGGAAGCTTGGTTTAAACACACCAGGTGAGATACATCTGTGCGCGGAACATAAGCTAAGTTATCCAGCTAATAGCAAGCAAACAATAACCGTTAGCTTAGCATCGCAGAGCTAACATGTTGGTGATGAGACTGAGATGTAGTTCATCGAGCGGTTTCACATAAACTAAATCTTACTTTTTACGACAAACTGAGACTTTCTTGACTTCAATGATCTTTTAAACTGACAAACATCATGTGCGTGATTCAGGACTCAAGAATTCAAACGGGATCTAAACATTTTTGTTGTCTCTCGCCGTTGACTAACGTACAATGGGTTGGAAGGGGGAGCGAGGTCCTTAGGCTCCTCTATTGCGCCCGTCAAAATGGCGTCCCCAGAAAGAGCTTCTTGTTGCGAGCGACAGGCTCTGACTGTTACACCAGGTGTCTGACAACATCATGGAAAGGATCCCTACGAGGGATTCCTGGTGACCCGCTTCTAACAGGAAACTGAAGTCTCGCTCAAGGACAGTTGTCGCTCTGAAATCTCGGGAGCGGCGATTTTTTGCAGGAGGACGCTGGTGGAAACGAAGGAGAGGAGTTTGTTGTGTACAGAGAGGAGCTGCTAGCAAGACTTTATTTCCTTACCCCAACACAACAAACTCTGACTCTCGTTTCCGCCGTCATCTTCCCTCATAGGGCTCCTTTCTGTGATGTTGACACCTGGTTTAACGGCCTGAGCCTGTCGGGCGGAGCCTTTTTGGACGCCATTTAGATGCCACCGCCAAAACATGTGAAACTAGGGCCCAGGTTTAAAAATACCTAAATCACCCTTTAATATCGGAGTGCTGTGGGTCCCTCTCCTGTCTTCAGTTAAACATTACTTAACCACATAATTGGCTTCAATCATTAAGCCGACCACAGAGAAAATGTCCGCCTCGGAGAAACGTCCTGTCTGCACGGTGGAAGTGAGGTTCATCATCCGAGCCCACAGGGAGGGCAGATGTCCACTTTAGAGTTGGTGACCGCAGACTTTACAGCCAGCCACTTGTCTTATTGAGAGATGCTGATATCAAAGGAGGCTTTTTCAGAAAAAAAAAAAGTTCTTTGCTAAAGGCTGTAAAAGGGCCACTTGAATCCAAAATGAACCAGAAACTGTTCTTATCGCACTTGAGCACAACCCACTCGACAGTTGCAGTATTTGCAAAGTAGCAGGAGGGAGAGTGATTTAAAATCCCCCCCACTGGCAGCGCTCATTAAAAGAGCTGTTTGTTTGCTAAATTAATGGAGGCTCTCAGACGGCTGTTGTTTTCTTCCTTTCCACTTGCATCACCAGCCCGTCTTTAACGACCGGCTGAGGTTTAATCCCAGGCATTTATTTATTTGGGCTAGCAGCCAGTTTGACGCCACTGAAAACATATTTTAATGAGACGCCAGCGTGCCGAAACAATAACCTGTGCTGAGATGTTTTAATTGGCTTTGAGAGGAGCTCTTTGAGACCGGAGAGGGATCATTCAAACCTTCTCAGGCCTCGTGGATAAACACGCATGTTAATGTGTTCCTTAAAGGTTCGAAACAAAGGCAGCAGACAGACGCGTAGCCTCGGCAGCGCTCGTCCACAGTGAAAAGGCACTGATACTAAGGGTGCTTTCTGTGATGGCTATTATACGGTATTATAGGCGTGTTTCACAGGAAGTAGTCTCCACGCTACGTCAACATTAAGACCAACACTAGGCGCAGTCATCCTAAGAGCAAACGTTTTCCTGGTCGCTGCCTCTAGTCAGGCTGTCAGAGACAAACTTCTGCTGGTTTTACCTCTCATTAGTGGCTCTGCTGCCCAACAGAGGACACAGAGGTCACGTCTTTTGGGGGTAGAAGTTTGTGGATCTGACTTGTAGTTTACATTTAACTATTTAACGTTGCACATGGTGAGATTTTTAAAGGCTGATACCAATCATGTCTTTAGATTCTGTGCTTTTAAAAGTGACCGTCCTTGAGAAAAAAATAAATACAATTTACATTTTTCCTGCTAGAATTTAGTCTCTGGTCAGTGGGCGACATATAACGGGTTTTAAATGAATGCAACAGTTGGGCAAATTAAAGTTATAATCCTTAAGATTACAGAGATTTGGGGACACCTGTGGTAAAATAATAATACAGGTCGCAGAGTTCTGTACGGACCACTGGGGGCAGCAAAGCCGCTTTAAACGAGAAGAGTTCGGCTGCGGCCTGTGGAGCAGGGGGCGTGACCACCGTGACGTCGCCATTAGATCTAGGTCTAGGATCTAGGTTTTTTTTTTCACTTCAATTGCATGTTTGAATTGCTTACATCTTATTTTCCTGGATCCATTTGACGTTTAGCTTGTGCAAACGAGAACAAATTGAGCAAGTGAGACATCAATTTTAATCTCAGTCTTCAGTATTTGTATAAAACTGTGTATACTTTATTTTATAAAATGTTTAAATTGCAACTACACTGTTCACACATGTGCAGTACAAACTACGCGCATGTGAAGAACGGATAGCCCATACAGAAAAGGGTGCGCGGCTTGAGTTAAGCGACAGCCAATCGTAACCGACTCTACAGGCCGCAGACGGACCTTGTTGCCTTAAAGAGCTACTCCCTATCAGAAACGCAAACTGTTTACAGCGCAGCCAAACAAACCCACGGGCTTGGAGGTTTCATTTCCTGTGGCTGTTTCACAATAAAAGCCAACCTGTTGTTTTGTTGGTTGAACTCTAATGAACTTTAATGTAAAAGTAGGAGGCGTTTGGTAACTCAGCTGCGCCTGTAATAATCCCAGCTATGTTACTGAGAGAAGGGTAGTTTATAATACATGACGGGTTGATGTGGAAATCTTAAGGATTATTACTCTAAAAATTAAAACATAACCAAATGGACAGAAAATGTTCTGTGGGCGTCAGGGTGGGGGGGGGGGTTGCCTGACCTGACCCTGGTGCTGATAACACTGCAACACAACTGAATATCTGTGTGTATCTATATACAGTGTAAATGTGTCGTGTGCATCGTTCTGAATATCACTTGTGTCACTGTGACGAGTTACTGTGACTAATATCATTGTACCTCTGAGTTGAAGTGAACCCAATGCTGGAGCCAAGCCGTGCTGCGTTCAGGAACTCCGACTGACTTCATACGTTTCCTGTAAAGTGACTTGTTTTAAATTCCCACCAACCCGGCTGCCCCGACTGTCGCTTGCATTCATGCAAACACAGACGTGCAGAGAATTTGGATTCAGACCCGGAGCCTCACTTGATATGCGAGTCAACGGCTCCTTCCCCCTCGTCCTTTACCTTCCCGTGACCCAGTGTACTGACGCAGGCCTGAAGTTCAACAGAGAAACACTCAAGTGTCTATTAGTTCCTAACAAGTACGCAGGGCTGCAGTCAGCAGGAGATGCAGAGTCAGCCAATGTTTGGATTAAATTGTTCCGATAGCGAACCAATTCTCCGATCCTCCTGCACAGAGTGTACCGGCTCCAAGGGCAGCGAGGAAAAACACACCAGAGGGGAAAGAAAACATAACTGCTTATATTTTTTAGTTTCAGTTCAATAAATAAACCTCTGCCAAGAACTTAACAACTCACTTTCCTTGTAGACCAACGTCTTAATTGGATTCCTGAGCCTGCAACCCAACTCTTAAGATTAGGTGTCTGTATCTTCCTGGTTTATACTCGGAGGTCTAATGAAAGTCTTCAATCAGGGATTTAAGATCCAGATTCAATCCATTAAATCTTGAGATATCCTGCGTACACACAGACTAAAGAAACGCAGCTTTACCACAGACCTCCTTCAGTCAGTTTGGCTCCAGCATTGTTTTTCCTCCAGACATCAAACCTTTAATATTCACTGGCCAAGTTTGATTTCAAGGTGCACTGTTGAAATTGGTTTGTGTGGCCTCAGTTCCCACTGGGCTCTTCTTACCAAACGACAAAAAGAAGAGGCTGTCTATCAGCTGATAGCGGTCCATCAATTCAAAACAAAGCAGACCTGAAACAGTCTGAGAAACCGGCCCATCGCCAATCTCAGCCTCTGTGTCCCTCCTCCCTCCTCTCCTCCCTCCCCCTGTCTCTCCTCTGCCCTCTTTCACCCCCCACTCCTCCTCTTATAGGACAAGGAGGTGAATCTGGCACAGGTGCATCGTCGTATGAACAGTCTTTTGGACGAGGACTTGGCCCACAAGCAGATCCCCGGCCCCTCTATCGAGATCTCTGCGCTGGACATCGGCAGCATGCAGCCCAGCCAGGCCTCTCTGCTGCAGGGGCCGGAGTCCGTGCGGGACTACCCGCCCTCGGGCCTCGCTGTGACCACCTTCCTCCCCGGGGAGGGGGCGCCGCCTCCTCCTCTTCCCCACCCTCACCATGGGGGGACCCTAGGCAGGACGCTACCCCCGTCCCAGGGCCCTGGCAGCAACACGTTGCCCCTGCACCACCCGCTCAGCAGCACCAGCCTCAGCGGCACCATGCAGTGCAAACACAGGGCCCCCAACGGGGGGCTCTTCCGGCAGAGCCCTGGCAAGACACCCATGCCAATGTCCTACCAGGCAGTCTCCGCAGGACCCATACCCGAAGCCATTGAGGCCACTCACAGCACATCCATATAGTGATAGGAGGGGGGACGGGGGGGATCTGGACTTTGGTCTGGTTTTTGATGCGAGGCGCGTTGGGGATCTCTAGAGGAAAATGATTACAGAAAAAAAAAAAACGTGTACAAAGTAAAAAGATTTTGTATCTCACTTCCTGTCCGATGTTACAAAAGAAAAACAAAGCGTGGAGGCGGGCGGGTGTAATTTTCTCTTGTACATATCTGTAAATACCAAGAGAACGAAGTGAGGTTAAAGTGTATTTTGAATATTCTCAATTTTTGGAAGTTGAGTTATAAAAAAACAAACAAAATGAGACAAAAAAATTATATATATATACATTGATGAAGAAGTTATGACTGTTTGACTGGCTTTGTAAATTTTGTTCAATATGAAACAATGACGCAAATTCATTGTGATTGTTTTCTAAGTGCCGAAATTAAACGATGTCTCTCCACAACTCATCGATGTAAGCGACTACCCATGATGCACCGCTGTAGGGACATGTTAGTGTTGGACACCTACTGTTATGCACCTCTGTACCAACCCTATATATATCTTCAGCATCGGACAGAAATGATCACAATTTCTTTTCCCATTTGTATTAAATATATAATATCTGTTGTTCTTCAAATCAAAAGTCTAAATTAATTTTCTTATGTTGATTGTAAATTTATCATTCAGTAAAAGTGGGGAGACAAGTGGATTTTTATCTGATTCATATTTTACACACGGCTGAGTGGTTTGTTTTTATAGTAACGTTTTATTTGGCATTAGTACTGTCCAGGTGAGGAGTTTCACTTTGTGGAGGGAGGGAAGACGGAACCAGACGGGAGGAAGGAGAGACTTTCAGGCTGCGCTCACACCTTCTGTTGGGTTTTGGTTTTACTTCAGCTGTTGATGAGCATCGCCTCTCTTGGGTATATGAAAGGCTATAGATGTGCTGCTCCCGGGTGTCAGTTCTCATGTTATTCTGTGGAGTTTTAGACTCAAACGCCATCTGGCGGTGCGTTTGACGAGCTTTAGGACCAACACACCCTCAGAGCAGGCGGCTGTTATGAACCGATTCTGACTGGAGAGAAAGTCAGCGGCACCGACGGCACAGAGAGTTTTGGTGTTATGGTTCTCACCAAAGAGAAACCGGTCCCAATGCTCAGTCCCCGTCCCTGGGGCTGGGCGATATGGCTAAACATGTTATCACGACTTGTATATCGGAAATGATCTGGATAAATGTCAAATCATGATTTCTGCTCCTGAGTGAAGGTCAACTGTGGTTTTAAACTTTTCTTTCTGGTCTGAACAAACACTGGATGCTGAACAGTGAACATTCAGAAGCATTAAGATAAAATCTGTTTTCAACAAATATGCACGAGTAAAATTAAGTGAAATGTTTTTCCAGTCCCATTTACTAAACAAAACGTGGTTAATTATCATTATTGTTTTATTGCCCAGCCGTGCACAAAACTGCAAAAACAGCTGAGTGTTAGCATCAGTCCACAATTCATTTAGTTCTTTTTGTTTCCTGAAGAGGGCTTTTACGTTGAGATGTGATGAACGAGCTGTAGGGCTCAACACAGCAAAGCAACAAGCAAACATCAAACTTCTGCTTACCTGTTTAGTAAAAAGCAAAAGTTTTTGGTGGACATGCAGCTACCGGTCGTTCTCAACAACCTCTGTTGTTTTGAACGCCCTTCCAGCACTGAGTGACCAAACACACAGTGTTTTAAGGCACCTCTGTGCTTTAGTTTTGGGGGGAATCAAACAGTAGGTGGTGTGAACGCAGCCCAACCGTCTCTGACCTTCTGTGTTTGTTATATTTAACCTGAAGATAAAAAGTCTTGTGGAAAGAACTATTAGCTCTATTAGATGTCTTTACTTTTTTATACTAGAGAATTTAATGTCAAACACTTGTATACAAGTTTTTTCTCCTGTCAAGCAGTGCAGTTATTTTAATCACAAAGAGAGAGAGAGAGAGAGAGAGAGAGAGGCTTCATATTCCAACAAGTCATTCCTAATGAGATCCATTATCACCTGCAGGGATGACAGAGGGCGTCGTTATCCAAAGTGCAATCAGAGGCTCGTGATGGTGGGGATTCTGCAGGTGCCATACCTCGACTGCTTGTAATATAGACGGAATCTGATTATGTTTGCTGAATGGAAAACTGTATGAGGAACCTTTATGGAAAATTATTTTCAGCAGGAAATATAAACCCACCCACACAAACACTACAACCCTCTTCTTCGCTTTCATAAGTGCAATTAATGTGCATTTATGGGCCTGATGAGTTTTGACTTCATTTTCATTCGCCAGACTTTGGCTGTTTGGAAACACGTTGATCGCACACAGCAGGGTTTTCAGCGCCCGAGCTTTAAGACTCCAGACAGACGCAGACCAGCTCGCCTTTGAAGGGTTTCCCCTCCAAAAAGTTTCACATCTTTATGTCGGCAGAAGAAACGGAGGGACGTTAGCTTGTCAGGATGAAGGGCTTCATTTTGTAGAAAGTCTCATACTGTTGATGGTCAGTCAGAAGGTGAACTCCTTTGATTGAACAGCAAGTGTTAATCATTAACTGCCAGCGCTAACTGATTTTGTCCCAATTACATTTTAATGCAAATCTGTTCTCACCAGTATAAACAAAAACAAGTTTGTCAATGTTGGACGATTGTGCAAAACCCCGATTACATTCAAGGACTTTCCTTTATGCCTAATGCCAACATGTTATTCTTGATTTCTAGCATATCTGCTCATGTGACACCCACAGTGTTAACATCAGGTAAAGAGCGTGTTTATGGCAGACAAACACTTGGTTAACCTCCAATCACTGACCTCAGCCCTCCATGCATTACGTAGTGCATTTCCTACACGTTACAAGCCAGTTAACAAGGGTTGGGTATTGAGAACTGGTTCCAAATGTCGAGAACACCCGTGCGTTCCTGCATATCTCAGCTCCTGACTGAACTGCAGTGAGCATTTTACAGTCAGTGTCTCTGATCTGCCAGCAGCTGCCACGCCGACCTAACGTCACCTCATGTGTTACGTCAACAAAGCATGAAGAAGAGAGTCCTGCTGGTTCCGGTCCTGGACCGTGGCGGACTGCAGCAAACGCTCCAAACTTTGGCTGAGCTTCACTGAAAAACTGCAGTCAGGAGGTTTGCTGCGAGGGAGGAAGCAGCTCCGACGTGACGAAGCGTTTCCTTCAACACGGCGTGAATCTGAACCCTTCACCGTGTCGCGCTCTGCCAGCTACAATGACACCCCAGAAACAACTAACGCTCTAGGACAGAGACTCCTTTCACTTTAGCCATGAAGGGGACGAGGAGCAAGGAGGAAGAGGATGAAGGTCACCGAGCGCTGACGAGAGAATCCATAAAACTGAAACGATAACAACCCTACTCCTTTCTTTCTACCTCCCTCCATCCTCCCTTGCATCCTTTATCCTTCCTTCCCCAGAGACGCCCCTCTAGGACAGAGACTGTTTTCACTTTAGCCATGAAGGGGACGAGGAGCGAGGTCACAGAGCGCTGACATTATCTGCGGTGAAGGAACCAGAACTGAGATTCAATAAGTGGAATCGGAATTGATAAAATTGACCCAATACCCAACCCTAACATTAACCATCCCGACCGCCGCACCCTTACTTTCCAGCTTACTACACACAGGTGACATTACGTCCTGCATTAGCGCTAAGCGTTGGCATTGGACATAAATTACTGGCGTTGAATTGTCCGATATGGACTTTATTCAGAGGGCTAGGGCGCTGATTCTGAACCAAAATTCACCCAGTTCCCTAAACAGATGACAGGATCAGTTTAGCCTGTTGGTTGTAGGACCAATATCTTTTCTGGTGCATTAAATCTGTGTGCTAAACGTCTGAGAAAAGATTTAATGTGTTACAGATGTTTAACATGTGACCGTCTCATTTTCTCTGTTCAGAAAACCGTGAATATCTTACATCTCTGCCAAAGGGAGGTAAAAAGCTAACGTTCTGCTCATGTGTGAATACAGACTATCCAATTACATTTTAAAAAACCGTACCGTGTCTTTCATTCTGTCTGAAAAATGGACAAGCAGAAGAAAAGCAGACGTTATCTGAACTTGGTTTTTGTGTCCGCCGGATCATCGAGACTGACGCAGCTCTTATCTGAACGGACTCTACGTGGATGTTTTCTAACTGTCAGTAGTTGCTTTTGTGAACCGACTTGCTTGTCACGCTGTAATCCACAACACGACGGACGTACTGAGGACCCTGAGGTTACGATTGGTCAGCAGAGAGGAGGTGAACAGGAAGTCTGTGTGCTGGGATGGCTTCATGTGTCACCCCCCCTTTACGTTAAAACTCCGGCACCCCTTCAGAAAATGAAAACATGAACTGTCATAGCATATAGTCTGTCACAGTACATCTAAGGGAGACCCTTCTTTTATTTATGAATATGCTGCTTGGAGTTTCTTAATCTTTAATAAAGAAATATGGTTTACACATTTGTTTCCCATGTTGTGTCAATGACAGCCAAATGTTTGTGTTTCTGTAACTCTACTTTAGGTAAAACTGTGATTAAAGAGGTGGTTTCTGCTTTTTTGGTACAAAGTGAAAAAGCCCAAAGGGAGTTCCCATCTCCCACAGAAAACTCTGAACTGAACTGAAAACGGCTCATTTGTAGTCCAGCCGCTTCCCTTTCATCCCTGTGACGTCAAGCTAAACGCGCCTCATATAACGCTCGCCGAGCGGCGACTCCGACACGCCCTCAGAAACAGCGAGCTGCAGCACACAGCTCTCCTCTCCCTTCCAAACACTAGCTACCCTCCAGGCAGTCCCGTGGACATAAAGTTGTTCCTGTGATGTAGAGACAGAGCTCAGTTAAAACTTTATGGATACAGATTAATAACTCACCGCTCTGAAACTCTCGCTCCAGTCCGTGTTGCCGGTCGGCAACACGTACGGCTGAACCCGAGCCGTTTACCGGCTTCTCGCCGACCCGCCCTTCTCTGCTTCTGATTGGCTAGTAGTCCTTAACTAGGAACTGAGCATGTGCAACTCCCAACAAAGATCATTTAGAGACAAGATGTATCACTCCATAGCTAAAACGAAGCCTTCAACACAGGCTGAAAAGAGGAGCTGCAGCAATGTGCAGTATGACAAAAATATAACCATGTAAACCTGTTCTGGTACAACCTCTAAATAAGATGAGGAACCTGAAAATGAGCAGAATACCAACTCTTTAAATGGTTGTGTAACTGCGGATGTCAAACATCGCTGGGTGCTTTCTAGAACAAAGGAACAAAGTACTTTAAATAACCAAACTCCATTTGAAAAAGGGCACTTTTAAATGTGAGTTGTTAAAGAGAATTTGGGGGTTTAGCTATTCAGTTCAACACAGTTATAAATAAGTTTTTGTGCAGCAATTTGAGGCCATCAGAGGAGCTAAAGCCGATTGGTCAAATCAACATGACTTGAACGTACACCTGCTTTAGATTAACACAGTTATCCAGAGAAACCTGCTTAGAGCGAGCGGGAAGACATCGATTAATCAGGTCTGAGACGACCTTTCCAGACTCTCCACTGGACCTCAGACTGAGAACAGCACTGTCTGTCAGGTAGAAGCTCTTAGCAATTATCATTCATCCACCTCAGTCATGAAGACGAGCGAATAATAGGCATCCCTACTGATAACGGACAGCGGGATCTACAGGGCCGATCTATTCAATGCAATAACGCGAATGTGTCAGCAGTGCGCCGGGGGACCCAAACATTTTGCCCAGAGAGCTTTTTGTTTTACAAAGTTAAAAAGCAAGGTTTATATCAAGCCCGATGTTGCTTTGCAGATAAAAGAAAGATTCCCAGCCTCACGGTGAGGAAGACGGCATCAGCTGATCCCCAGAGCCCGGGTATCAGGACATCGGTGCATCCCTAGCCAATATAAAACCTTATCACATCTACATTTCAGATTTTTCTAGTTAACTGCAGTGAGATGTTACAAGGAAATCCATTAAAGTTGACTTCTTTAAAAATCCTTTCATTCAGAGAGTCACTGCCTGGCTGCTGAGTGTGGAATCACCTCGGTCTCTGCTTTGATAACAGCAGGACGTCTGGCGGAAGTCTCTAACGCTTTATTTAACTTTAATGTGTATATATTTGAAAACAACGTCGATAACCAAGTCCTTTAAGTCTAAAATGTTGAGCCGTTGAATATTGTTGAGTTTTGGGCTGTTGGTCCGACAAAGCGAGATATCTGAAGACGTCCCCTTGACCTCTAAAAACTTAAATAATGACTTGACATCAAAGAACAATTCTTAAACATATAGTTAATTGCAGATCTAGTTTGAGAGAGAGAGAATTTGTCCAGCTGTGCACCTGACAGACTGCAGAGACAAACTGAAGCCACCTGCAGGTCTCTGAAGAGACATTTTGATGCTTGAAGTTTGGATTTACTTCTTGCCATCGTTCGTTTACAGCAAAAATGTTATTTGGGCAAAACGGGTATGAAGCTCGGTGGCCCGCGTAGAGCAGGAGGAGCTCTAAGACCCAGTGAACATCGTTGAAATAACCTCTCCAGGATCCTCTCGCGAAAACGACAGCTCTACTGAAATCACATCGACATCCAATGATCTGGTATTACGTAATATCTTTGTTGTTTTAACAATGTGTGAGCAGACATTATCCAGTTTGCTACGTCACTCACTTTGCAAAGAAACAATAAAATGTGTGCCTGAAGTTAAAAATGAGAACAACAACAGCTGCAGGAGATACGACATGGACGCCAACAGCCTCGCAGTCTACGTTGTTAGACTGAACAGCTAGATGTGGACCAGCCTCGCTCACAGGCAGGTGGTTTGGCTTCAAAAAGATGGATGTGCTGCCTCTTTAACAGAGTGGCTTGCATGTGGACTGTTTTGTTCTGTTTGTTCTAGTAGGCTTGCTATAGTTTTCTTGGTCCTGGAAAAGCCTGGAAGCAAAGCTGTGTTCCCTCTTTTTGTTCACTTTGTCTCATCTTAATCCATAAGAACACATGTCTGTAAGTACTGCTTATCTTTTATGAGACTCACGTGTAATGGTTATTGGAAACAATCGTGATGCTAATCGCGTTAGCCCGTTAATGGCATTTTCCATGTTAAGTTAGCATTGTGCTAATCGTAGTTATTGTGACAGCAATCTTCATATGCAGGAAAAATTGTGATTGTTTATGTTTTATGTCTGTATTTCAGTGTTTCTAACGGCAAACATCCCGAAACTACCTGCTGTCTCCTGGATGTTTATTCATTAAAGAACCTGTTAGCTATCTGCCAAGCTAGCCACTGTGTCTCCATCTAGTTTGTTTGTAAAAAGTAGTTCAAGTCAAGTGAAAAACATTAAATGCAACCAAAGTAAGCAGCAAACTGCCAAAGTTAAAACAACATTTACGCCACCAAAACAGACTTTTTCAGATATAAAATTTAAAAATTAAATGAAGAAGTTCTGCTTCATTATTTCACTGTAGGAACAACTAATGACCAGCTGCTCGGTCTTCCTTCATTAACTGCCTATTGATAAAAATAAAGATTATCAGGGTGTGTGAACACAGGCTGTTAATTTGTTTTTGCACGAACCTTCAAGGCTTCATTTCCTTCCACTGCTGCAGAACAACCAAAGAAGGTAAAGACAAAGTTCAGCTCAGCAAAACTCAGAAACAAACAACAGGTCCTTAGCACTCTGAAGGCAAGTATAACTGGAAAGCAGTTATATTAAATTCTAAACATTTATTAATCAAAAATAGGTATTAAAACAATGTGAAGCACAAACAGACAGGTTGGCTGAGATATCAATGAGAACAAAAAACACACACTAGCTGACATGTAATAAATATAATGACCAGCAGACATGTTAACCCAGCGCAAGGGGAGCTCACAATCAGTGGGTAAGGAACAAGTTCATCACACATGCAGGATGAGCTCTGAGCCAGACCACCAGAACAGAACAAGGAAAAGAAAACCACCAAGACAGCGACCACCTGCAACCCAAACTAAACTAAACACAGCTCTGTACAGTTGTTGCATTCATATTATTTTCTACACATGTATGTATAAAGGATAATTGAAAACATGTTCAAATCTCAACAACTACCAGACGATCCCTACCTGGGTCTCCCAGACTAAGTTAGCGCCCCCCTTACGTTACATGGGGCTCTCCTCCTAACAGCGATCGCCACCTGCTACGCTGGGGCCGGCCGGCTTCATATCCACCAGAATGTCCCATGAAATAAATAGATAAAAAAAAACTAAGAACGTTTACTCTTTCATTTTAGTTAGTTTTGCAAACCTACAACACCGTTTTAGTTAGTTATTGTTGTTTTGTAAAGCCTCGTTTTTGTTTTTCTTTCAGTTAGCGAGAATGTTTTTTCACATCTAGTTTTCGTTATTTCGGCTGCGGCTGCTTCAGATGTAGCTGGTTTGATCAGCTGGACGTGCAGCCTCTCTTTACTCTGTTTGAGAGTCTTTAGTGTAGTTTAGCTACTTGTTTAAACAGACTGCTTTCTCGTTTTATACTTGTGACTGTCATTTTCGGAGGTTTGCGACTCACCACTAAAGGAAAGTTAACAAAATAATTCTCCGTGGCTGACTTTCAACAAACGTATGAAAAATTTAACTTAAATTCGTTTTCCACAACTCACGTGGTCACTAAACTGTTTCACTCCTCTCATTCAAATACAAAAAAACGCTGTCGTCCTTCCTAACTAGGACGAGGAGCGATCTGAAACAATTTCCTAATATTTTTATAAAACAGGTTTTTGAAAAAAGAAAAAAAGAAAAGGATCTCTTTGCTTGTCCATAACAACAACAACAAATAGCAAGGTATCAAATGAAGTACTCTATTGGTATTGGTATCATTTTAAGGGTACTGGTTTTGGTACTGGTTGATAAAACCTTTGTTCTGTTTATTGTCAATAAATGGAGTTCATCCACGTGTTATTACTGAAGGTTCACTGTTGTAAATAAACTGCTAAAATGTACAAAGTTCTCGTATTTTTTAAGTTTCTAGAGAATTCATGATAAAGAGTCTCCACCTAGTGGCCATTAGAGGAACTCCTGCTTGAGAGCACGCCGTCCCTCAGCAGTCCTCACTGTGTGTGAATAAATATAAGGTGATGTATTTAATATTTTATACAGACAGTATATTCACATCAGTACCTCAGTAGCACTGCACATCACTGAGCCAGTGACAGTATGGTGGGGTGGGGGCTGCAGACATGAATCCTTGTGCCTTTCTTTCACAGTTCCTCGTCTTCTCTGCTGCATCCTGCCGTCAGTTCGCCTGGCAGAAAACATCCTCTGCTCTGTCAATTAGGGGGACGATTTAGCCTGACGCACCGGGAGGAAGACTTAAAGCAACACACCGGGGCGTGCAGAATGTCAGCTGTGCCGTGGCTGCCTGGATTTAAAGCCGGGCAGGACGGATGACTTGACTAAACGGTGATATAGCCGCCCCGCAGCAAGCCGTCGGAGAGA